TAGAACCCTTCTCCCTCCCCTCCACCTTTTCAGCGTTCCAGTCTATATTGGTAACACAGGAAGTCAAGTCAGCAAGGGGGAGATGAGAGCAGCACAGAGTGAGCTGAAACGTTGCCTGAAGGAGTCTAAGGACATCTACAGGAGGAAAGTGAAGCAGCAATACAACAACATGAGGGAGGTCTGGGATGGTGGGAGAACCATTGCAGGCCATAAACCTAAGACCAGCTCAGAGGAGGGGGTGGGGGGGGAGGGGGGGGGGGAAAAGGCAAACAGTTTGAACAACATCACAACGCTGTGAAAATCCTCTTCTTGGATTTTTCTAGCTCCTTTAACACCATCCAGCCACTTGCAGTCCAGGATAAACTGACATGAATGCAAGTGGATCCTTGAATTGTTGCCTGGATTTCCAGCAACCTCACAGACAGACCACAGTATGTCAGGCTGAATGAAATCACATCTGACACTGTGGTCAGCAACACTGGAGCACCACAGAGGATGGTGTTGTCCCCTCTCCTCTTCGCCCTATACACCTCTGACTTCTGGTACAACTTCGAGCTGCGTCACATCCAGTAGTTTACGGATGACACAGCCATCGTGGGGCGTATTAAGGACAACAATGAGGAGGAACACAGGCCCCCTGTGAGGAACATTGTTGTCTGGTTTAAATCCAACCAGCTGCAGCTCAACACCTCTAAGACCAAGGACCTGGTCATAGACTTTGGGAAATCCAAACCCAAAATGAGCCCAGAGTAGATTTTACTTCCTGCGGCGGCTCAGGTCCTTCAACATCTGCAGGAAGCTCCTGAAAATGTTTTACCAGTCTGTGGTTGCCAGCGTCATTTCATACACTGTGGTGTGCTGGGGGAGCAGCACATCAAAAAAAGGAAAAGCTGATCGGGAAGTCTAGCGCTGTGGTGGGCACAAACATCTTCAATCAAATTTTGAGGTCAATAAGCTCCAGCATGCTCGATTGCATGAGATGAATCAAGTGATATTTGGTAGTGTAGCATAGTGTTTGTATTGGGACTAATACTTCATTAAGTAGTATACTACTGTTATGCAGTTATTTAAATTTTAATGGGCCAAAGGAAGAAATACTTAATTTCATACCACTACTGATTGGGGCAGTAGTGGCTTGGTTGTTAAGGAAGCAGAGTTAGGTTCGGAAAGTTCAAGCCCACCAGCTGCCAAGTTACCACTGAGGAGCAGTCATCATGGCACCGTCACCCACACCAGACATGAGCAAAGGCCATCTGTGAGGCTTTGGTGAATTGTTTAAATGACAAACAAATGTTACTGTATCAAGCACCAAGAAGAATTGTCCACTTACGGTAAATATTTTCTTGAATGCTTGGAAGTATCCAAGTGTCGTATCACGACAAAAATCTTGCACACGTTGCTTACTCGTACCTTAGAAAACTCGTATTTTGCGTAGCTTGTGTCTCAAAGCCCCACTGTATCTAAATGAAGTATTAGTCCCAAAACCAATACTACTGTAATGACGATGTGTTCACGAATGTTGTGCTTTTGTGATGCGACGAAACTGTTTATTCAAGTGTGGAATATGTAAAATATCAAAGGAGTCTAACCTGCACTCCAGACGAAAAACCTGACAGGGAGCTGTAGGTGGGCAGTGATGACTCAGCTTGACTTAACATGGACCCTATAGGACATGGATGGAAAAGGAAGAGTGTGATATAAGCATTTAGATATAAATATCTGAAATGTAAAAACATATTGCCTTTATTTTATTGTAAATACATTAATCATAAAATCTTTATTTTGGGAGAATGCCGTACCTGAACCAGTGCTGTGCTGCTGAAGATAGACAGAAGTATTTAAGGATGTGGTCAGAGGAGCTTGACTATGTGAACTGGAATTCACACTGACCGTTCTCCTTTGGTTGCGCAGCTTCTCCTCTCTTCTCCACTTGGCTCTTCGATTTGAGAACCATACCTATCACAGGTACGGCTGCATTAGTTGTGCATTTTTAAAGCATGTCATTGCATGTAGTAACTAGTTCACTTTAAAATGTTCCACCTGTATCCTGGCCTCAGGTAGATCAATCTTGTTTGCCAGTCGCTCCCTTGCAAAGACATCTGGGTAATGTGTTCTTTCAAACTCTGTAGAGAATACTGACTGTTACTCACACAGAGCAGGTGACAAGAAATCATCATGTCTTCTTATTTGAGTTACCTTGTGGAATAAATGTGAATTCTCCTGTATTTCATAATGCCTACCGTAAATTTCGGACTATTGAGAACAACCGAGTAGGCTGAACCCACTAAATTAAAAAAAAAAAAAAATTGTACATATCTAGCCCGCACTTCTCTATAAGCCGCAGGTGTCCACATTGTAACGTGTAGGTGCAATGGGTCAAGTGCTGCTTAGGAGCACTTGGTGTTATTAAGCAGTCTCAAATTAATAACACAACCAGTCTCGTTAAAGTTATCTTTAATTATTATTTTAACCTACTAATATAGTAATAATGTATTACTCGGAGTATTACAAATATACTAAAATAAATAGTATTCAATAACAAATATCTGAAGGATTTTGAGAGATCTTGGCAAATTGGGTGGCTTCAATGAATAAAGTAACAACACAGACAGTTTACAAAAATAATCACATTTATTTATACAACACTGTCAAGTTAATGGCAGTGATTGAACTCATAAACAATGATCATAACAACAAAACAAGGCGTGTGTGTGTACACGAGTGGTCGTGTACGAGAGAGAGAGAGAGAGATGTTGCCTCTCAGTTACCAAGCTAATCTTTTGCTGTGAACTAATCACTATGAACGGATCATTCTCTGTGAACTAATCTTTCGCCTCGTTCTCGCAGATTCGTTTCATTTGTCACGTGAAAGAGCTCGGGTCTTTTTTGCTCTCATTCATCTTCACATTGTGGTGTGTTTTATTTCTTAGCTTTTCACATGGTTTTAATTACTTATGGCATTTTGTGTACTTTGTAGACTTTGTCAGCGGAAGCAAACCATGTTGCCTTATTTAGTGTCGGAGAACCGCAGCCTTCTTTACAACGCCCACAATAGGGCTAAAGCGCCACCTGCTGTAAAACGAATGAAATGATTAGTTCAAGATTCGCTCACGACTCGTTCATTTTACTGTTCGAGAGTCAAAGTTTCGAATCAATAAAAAGAGTCGGTCTTAACCAGTTAAGAAAAGGACGCTACTAGATCATTTATCACCGTGGGCAATGGTGTCTACAAAAGCGCGTGGATTCTTAGTCTTCTGAGACGAGCAGGTTTCACTTTTCATCAGGGGTCCTACAGAGCGAAAGTCCTGAACAGAGAGAGTGAAACTGAGCTGCCACCCCCCACCCCCCCAATTTAAAGGTTGCGGAGGTTACTGATCGTGACGTATGTGGATTTACCGGAAGCAGTGGAATTATGGGAGTTCGAGTTCTTGAAAGGACTGTTGTAGTACCTACACATGGGATATTTGCACAGAAAGATTTTTTTTTCACTTTTGTTTAAATAAGTTCCGAACAGTGCCTGTAACACGGATGGTTACACGTTAGCTCTTTCTTAGTGATTAGACTCTTAAACTTAGTTAGCTCTGGTAAGGGGTAAACAGAAAAGGGAACCAGAAAAGTAATTGATCGCTAGCGGTATGAACTTCGTTAGCCTGTAAAAATATGTAAATAAGGTGAGGATTAGAGATGCGAAGCTGCTTAAATACTTCAACTGTCTCGTCTTGTGTAGAGCTTGGTGTATGTGTGCAGACTGCAATGAAATAAAAAAATTTAAAAAATCATACATTGAAACCCCAAATAAAGTGGGGATGGTTGTTAGAACGTTTGGCCTTGGCTCGCTTGTGTGATCCCTGGTCTTTCTGTGTGGAATTGTGTGGAGCATGTTCACCCCACATGTGCATAAGTTTCTTCCGAGTACTTGGGTGTCCTCCCACAGAACATGCCCATTAAGGAGATTATATTGATTGGACATGCGAAATTAAGCCTAGATGTTATCGTGAAAGTGAAGGTTTGTTTGTTTCCATGTGTGGCTGTATAAATGTGTGCAATGGACTGGCAAATTATCCAGGGCGTACCCTGCCCTTGACTTTTGACAGCTGGGATTGGCCCCAGCTGCCCCCATTCCCACTCCTCACGTCCCCAGATGGACAGATAAATGGCTAAAATAGCTGTTTTACCCTTTTAGAAAAGTACATTACAGTACAAATCCATCCATCATCGTCCGCTTATCGAGGGCCAGGTTGTGGGGGCAACAGTCTGAGCATGGACACCCAGAGTTCCCTCTCCCCAGACACTTACTCCAGCTCTTCTGGGGGGACCCCAAGGTGCTCCCAGGCCAGGGGAGCGATATAGTGGAGCAGCGGCTCTACTTCGAGCTCCTCCCGGGTGACAGAGCTCCTCACCCTATCTCTAAGGGAGCGCCCTGCCACCCTGCGGAGAAAGCTAATTTTGGCCCCTTGTATCTGGGATCTTGTTCTTTCGGTTATGACCCAAAGCTCATCACCATGGGTGAGGGTAGGAACGTAGATTGACCGGCAAATCGAGAGCTTTGCTCAGCTTCACCACAACGGACCAATACAGCGACCGCATTACTGCGGCTGCTGCACCAATCCGCCTGTCAATCTTACGCTCCATCCCTCCGTCACTCGTGACCAAGACCCCAAGATACTTAAACTCCTCCACCTGAGGTAGGATCTCTTCCTCAACTTGGAGGGTGCAAACCACCTTTTTCCGGTCGAGAACCATGGCCTTGGACTTAGAGTTGCTGATTCTCATCCCAGCGGCTTCACACCCGGCTGCGAACCGCCCCTGTGCATGCTGCAGGTCCTGGCTCGAAAAAGCCAACAAGAGAACATCATTCTCAAAAAACAGAGATTAAATCCTGTGGCTCCCGAACTGGACCCCCCCCAACACCTGGCTGTGCCTAGAAATTCTGTCATAAAGATAATGAACAGAACCGGTGACAAAGGGCAGCCCTGCCGTAGTCCAACATGCACCGGGAACAGGTCCGACTTACTGCCGGCAATGCAAACCAAGCTCCTGCTTCGATCGTACAGGGACCGGATAGCCCTTAGAAGAGGGCCCCCTACCCCATACTCTCGGCGCACCCCCCACAGAATACCACGAGGGACACAGTCAAAAGCCCTGGACCGGTTGGGCAAACTCCCATGAACCGTCAAGCACCCTGTGGAGGGTATAGAGCTGATTAAGTGTTCCACGACCAGGACGAAAACTGCATTGTTCCTCTTATATGTGAGGTTTGATTATCAGCCGGATTCTCCTCTCCAGTACCCTGGAATAGACTTTTCCCAAGAGGCTAAGGAGAGTGATCCCCCGATAGTTGGAACACACCCTCCGCGATGCTGCAGAGACGTGTCAACTAAGACAGCCGCACAGTATCCAGTACAAAAGTACAAAATTAATGTAAACAATGTTACGATGTATTTCAATTAATATACCTATGGTACCATACACAATAAATGTTCAAGCTACATGGTACCAAATGGTGGCAGTTATGTTTTAATTAAGGCATAAGGAAGAAGAAGTCTGGAATAATTCAATTAAAGTATGCTACATTCCAGTTCAAAGCAAATCATTGTATGAAGATTTTCAAGTTCTGTGAAAGATTTTTTGACCAGATATAGGGCAAACAACTGTGCCTTCTGTACCCCTAACACAAATGAAGTTTGTCTCGCAATTACATATAATTAACTGGGTATACTGTAATTGGAGTACGGGACTATGTAGAAGCTGCATCTCAGTAGCCCGTAATGTCCGGGCTATTGAGCGCACCTGAATATAAGCCGCACCCACTAAATTAAAAAATAAATAAAAATAATAGACAGACCTTTCTCCAGAGCTTCAATCTGCTCCTGTGTAAAGCTGGTCCTGTTTCTTTGCAGCTTCCTCCTAAGCTGCAACCTCAGTTGAGACTCCTCATTCTTGTCCCGTTCCACAGGAACTCCCCCTCCTTTGCTGACTTCTCCTCTCCTTACTCCCTCGATTTCTTCCACTGTGCTGCTTTCAGATTCCAGCAAACAGCCATCAGATACTATCAGAGAAATAGGTAGGAAAAAAGCGATGTTCTCCATTGGCACAATGGCTGGCACAAATGTGAGAGTCATATTAAATGTATCTACTTATTACACAGCACATAAAAATGTTTTCTGACATTTTGAGCTATTGTATGCAAGATTGCTGCTATGAATATTTTTTATTTGAATGCCAAATAATTCAAACACATTTTTTGCTGATATTATTTTCTAATATTACGGCTTCCATCATCAGAAGCTCTTTCATCCTCAATTTTTAACATTCCACAAACAATAAAGGTTGATGTTTTGGTCCAAGTTTTGATGGCAATGAAAAAGATATTGTATTTCATTTATTATTATTATTATTATTATTATTATTACATCCTTTCTTTATTTTAGTTTTCAATAAATTAATAATAATATGGTGGTAATAGTAATGGATGGATGGATGGATAGATAGATAGATAGATAGATAGATAGATAGATAGATAGATAGATAGATAGATAGATAGATAGATAGATAGATATCTAAAAACAAATTGAGTAGTTAAGGTGTAATTTATCAACTTACCCATGCAGTGTTGTGTTGGAACTCTAGTTGGGTACCAGTTGCTAGTCCCGTTCCAGTTTGCGCTGCTCTGCAGGTTCAGCATAATAGGCTTGTCATACATTCTATGATTATCCAAAACACCATGAAGACAAATGGGGGAGTCCTGCCCTGTGCATAGGTGCCTCTCAACTGTCACTTTTAGCTCCACTTGGTTCTCCTCCTTCTTTCTATAATGTTGGGGGCTAGTGGATGCGAAGGATGTAAAATAAGTAAAAGGGGATGAAGGAGAAGGCGGGGTAAGAGGAGGAGGAGGAGTTTATATCGCATGAGTTCACACAGTCGGCATTGTGGTGAATTAGCGTCATGATGACAGGCAGAAGTGAGTTAGTTGGATGCGTGCTTTCAAAATGTGTGTATCTCCGACAATGGTATATTCGCGGTCCTTGGGGAATAAATAAATACATAAGTAACCGGCGTCATTTTGAACGTAAAGACTTTTCTTGTAGCTCAATCTATATGCAGAAACAATTCAAGAGAAAGATACTGGATCCATACTCACTAGTAACCTCCTTTTTTTTAACGCTTAATAAACTGCAATTTAATTGCGTAAGTTAGAACACCATCTCTTTTAAATATAGGGACAACCACAAGTGAACAAAGGTTACTTTTCAGTCTATGATAAATGGAGATTTACAAATTGACAAAGAGTTCAGGTTAAATGATGCAGCTGTCCCATTACTCATATCTTCTTCGGAATTTAAATCTCCTTGCTCTACAGCGTTTGTTTCTCAACTTTGTTAATAATATTGTCCAAAATATGAAGACACAAAAAAAGAGAGCATTAATATGAATATGTGAGAGAGAGTGATGAGATAATACCAGAGGGACAGAAAGAGAGAGAGAGAAAGGGGTGAGATGAGGATGGGGGGGCTGTATAGAGAAGTGATTCTGCAGGCACTCTTGACCTCAAAGCAATGGAGGAGGGAGAGAGAGAGGGACAGAGTGTGGGGTGGAAAGCGGGTAGAAAGAGAGAGAGGTGACAAAACAGGTTAACATCAGTGTCAAGTCTGAACTTAATGCCACCAAGAAGAGGAGGGAGGAAGAGAAAAACAACCTTTGTAATAAAGGGATAAAAAAGAATTAGATGAAGCAATTCATTTATAGTTTCAATGTATTCTTTTAATCATTGTTCAGTTCCACTTAAGTTCATAATAATACACATTGTGTCAGCATTTCAGGGTTAATTTAAAAGCCTAATCAACATCTAAATCCAAGTTATTTTATAGATTTATCATGTCAAAAATAACACTATGATGCTAAAACCAAAAAAATTAGGAAATTATGCATATAAATGGATGTTTGTCATTTTAAACCATGAAAAGCAAAACTGGGCCATACTTTGGAATATATGGTAAGTGTGCAGCAGAAAGATCTCAGTACGATTAATGTCTAAATTCTCCATTTCGAAATAAAAATTTTAAGTACAAACTTTGGATGGCCTTACTGGCCATTTCTACAAGAAAAGCAAATTGCGGATCCCAAAACAGGTAGCAGTGGTAGTCGGAAGGCTAGACTCTGGGTCACAATGACAATAATTCACTTTCACAGGCATGGCAGGTTTTCATTGTCATAGGAAAAGTCTATAACGATTCTTACCGATTTTACAAGATTATGCTAATATTGGCCAATAATATCGGTTGACCGATATTATCGACATCCTTATAATTAACTTGTATCAGGCAATCAGCTTAATAAACAATTGCGTCATACAATGGGGAAACAAAAAAAAACGTAGAAACCTAGTAAATACAAATCAAACTACAAGTAAATATATTGAGAAATGAATAATTACACTTGAATTAATACACTAATAGCATAACATGTTTTTATCTAAGGATTATTTATATATTTGAACTATTTTTGTTACCTACTTAAATAAGTTTAGTTACATATAAAACCACAACATGCGTGTTTCCTGTGCTCAAATAACCAGAAATGCAGTGTGTGTAAACTTATCGCACCGTTGCTGTAACGTTTAATGCATTGGGACGGTAAACAAACACACTTTCTGGCTACAGAACAGTAAAAACAAACACAGTAATAACTAAATACATACATATATATAAATATACAGTATACATATATAATTTATTTATTTTTTGCAGTAGGAAAAAAGAGAGGTGGTGCTTTGGCCCAGAGGCAATGTCTCTGTCATTGGTGTGGAATCTCAGGGTTCACCTCCTGGATAAGTTCGAATCCCGGTTAGGGCGGTTGGTACCTTCCAGTGGACTCACCACCCACAGGAAGGTTCAGGGGAGTTGGTACGGTGCAATGTGATTTGGGTGGCGACTGCAGCCCACGTGACCCAGTAACGGATAAGCGGATGAAAATGAATGGATGGATGGATGGAAAAAAGAGAGGCAGACGATACAAACATAGAGCCAGAGGAAAAGAGAGACATATGTAGAGAAAGCATGTGACACAGGTCGGTTCCTCATCTCAGGGATAAAGAGGGTGCCTCTTGTTTTATTTCCAGTCAACAACACTTTGCTTTTGCTTTCTCTGTTGCCTAGTTTTGCATGTATTTTTTTCTCATTGCTCTCTCCCCCTGTCTCTTTTTTCCTCCGAGATGAAAGAATCTCATCTTGAAAGAAGAAAATTATTTGACATGGTCAAGGTTAAAAGTGAGTGCAGAAAGGTTGGAATAAAAATAAAAGAACATATAAAGAAATGATTGCAATGATTTAATACAACGTAGGATCAGTTTACAATTACTGCAATAAAGGAATGTGTGTATAAGAATATCTTTTTTATGTGATAAAATTGTGAGGAACAAAAATTTCACTTGAAAAACAAAGTGATTTTGAATGGCTTGTTGTTCTGCAGACAGAATTATACATTTTAGACCTTATGACCTCACTGTCATTTTTTGGTTCGGTGGCCACATACAGCCTGATTAGATGTCAAGTGGGCTGGACCAGTACAATTATAACAGTACTGTATTTTCCGTACTATAAGGTGCACTTAAAAGCCTTTAATTTTCTCATAAATTGGAAGTGCACCTTATAACCCAGTGCGCCTTAGGTATTAATTCTGGTTGCGCTTACTGAGCTATAACCGACTATATAAAGCCAAACCACACAGCGCATCACACATGATGGTACACAACTGAATCACAGGGAGCCAACAATGACGTTTAACTCTGCTATTATAATGAGATGCTCAACAACAATTGTTACAGTATGGTTGTGTAACCCAAATCCATGCAACGTCGCATTGTGCCTCCCAACACCCGGAGACTCTACGTTGTGTTTTTGTATTGTCGATGTATGGTGCTATGCAGAAGACTCAGACGCATGGCTGTCAATTTTTCCATGGTCAAGACCTCTTTTTATTTGTCCTTTTTTATCAATACAGGCAAAACACACACTCTCTCTGCAAAACAATATCCACACTTCCGCACAGAACAGCGTCTAAACAACAATACAATGACCATCCAGAACAAAAATAGATAGTTTTCCGATTACGTCACGCCATCTTGTGTGGCAACAGAGCGTGTTCTTTTGTGTATATTAAATACACAAAAGAACACCGATAATGGTAAATACCTGTGTTGTGTGGGGTTCTACCAACCAATCTGGGAATGGAGATCGCAAGATGAAGTTTTTTGACATAAAGCGATCTGTCACCAAGGGAAGCTGACGGAGGATATTTCGACAGAAAGAAGGATGCTACGGCTTTCACGTATTAATCGTGCTAATTTCAACCCAGATCCAAGCAAAAAGCATCGCAAAGTATGTTCTGAACACTTTATTTCGGGTAATTATACTTTTATTTAATTCATATGTTCAATGTCAATAAAATTAAAAACTATCAAAATGCACTTTGCATACATGACAAATGTTCACAATGCAAACGTAAATCCTCAGCTGACCACAGTCCATATCATTATCAGTATTTTCTATGTACATGTAGAATCAAACTACTTTTATATTATTAAAGAAAGTAAAAATTACATCTTTTTTGTGATTTTGGAAAAAAAAATCTAATCAATAGTAAAAAAATATTTTTCATGTAAACTGTTATTCTAATGATGTTCACAAAAGACATACATCTGTACATCCCACTGTGATTTTTACATTAACATGCTGTATTATTTGGGTGTTAATAAATACCGTATGATATACATTGTCTGGCCAACTTTTAATGTCTGCCCTCTTTCACTCAGCTTTGTTGATTTTGTATGTGTCTTTTCCATTGATTATTTTCCAAGTCCAAGTATCTTGCCCTTGTAATTGTGTCTAGTGAATCTCTATACAACAAGTGAAGTCTGATCTTCCTCTGGCGATTTAATATTCTTGTCTTTTGTTGTCATTATCGATTGTTTACGTCTACCTATTCACGTCTTTTGCCACACAACATGGCCGACGGCGTGATGCACCATGAGTAAAAACGATTATTGGAAAACCATCTATTGACAAGAAGGATCCGGACATGCTTGATTGACTGTTTTGTATCGCTTAATGCGCCTTATAACCCGGTGCCCTTATTTATGAAAATAGATCCGTTCATTGATATTGCTCCTTATAATCCAGTGCGCCTTATGTTACCAATAAATAACAAGTCCAAGTTTTTCTTCTTCTTTGTTTTAATGAAAATAAGTAAAACTATATTAGATTTTTAGAATTTTCATATTTAATGAAAAAAACATTTCATATTTTCTTTAAAAAAACATCACATACATGAAGTGTTTGTGCATGTTTTTTTACTTCAAAATTCTTCAAGCAGTATATACACCTCCATTTTTTTGCCCCTGTCAAGTGGAAAACATTCAGGAATTTGAGCTACAAAAATAAAATTAACTTGACTTGACTTTAAAGTCATTGTTCCTAGAAAACTTTAAAACAAAAAAAGTATCTGTGACCTTGAGTCTTTTAAAACCTGCTGGTGTTTTATTGATATTTCAGAGTCAGTTAACTAAATAACTAGCTAACCTTTTCGACTTAACCTCATTCTCTTAAAAAAAGAGAATGATAGAATTTAATCTTACAAAGTCCCTTTGATCCTGATAACTGTGTTTGTTACGTTATGTGTTATTGTGTTTGTATAGAGATGTTAAAAAACTCTCTCTCTTTGTGAGCTTGCTAGCTTCACAGTAATTTGTGTAGCTCCAGGTCATTCATTTTTTGTGCATCTTGTTTGTTTATTCATGTCACACACACCCCTGTCTCGCTCTCTCTAACTCCCTTCCCCTCTCTCTCTCTCTCTCTCTCTCTCTCTCATTCCATCCTTTGCTTTTTCAGCCCCGAGGGGGGAAAGGGGAAGGGGTAGACAGTGGTAGCAGTCACTATGGCTACACTGCCATGACTAATATTCATCAAGTTGTTTAAAATCATAAAAACAGACTGGAGTCTTTCACAATTCCTTACAGTGACTGAATCCTGTCCTTTCTTCATGTATAATGAGTGAGAGTACTTACCTTCTAACACAGAGCATAGAAATATGGATTTCTTTTTGAAAATTGGAAAACTGCCTTTTTTAACCAATAGTGATACACTTTTTCTTTTAAACCCATTTTATAACTTTTAATGTGCAACATTCCCTGCTATAATACTATATATAATAAATATGGATTTTCTTATATAAGTACTTGTGCAAATCTTTTATGTCTTTATTTCTTTCTTTGTCCCCTTTATCCCTTGTTCTTCTCTTACTTATGTGTCGCCCCAGGCATTACTGTGATGTGTCCTTTCTGTTCCCCCTTTCCCTCCCTCTCTCTCTCTCTGTCCCTGTCACCTTCAATTGCTGTGTAAGTAAGTAGACACACTGCCTGGTTCGTGTGGGTGGAGGGGGAGAGTGGAGAAAGGCACAGACGGACAAACATCTTTCATAAGGAAATAAAAATTAAAAAAATTAGCTGCAGAATCATCCAAGGTTAATAATATTGACATAAATAATGACACTCTTTTTAAAACAAAATGTAATTGTATACAGTTTCTAATCAAATTTGTATTTCCCATTGTCTTGAAATTTAACTTTATTATTCCTTATACTCTATTTGGAGTTTATTGTTTTTCACTGAGGTTTTCTTCTTTCAGTTGCTGCCTTTAGGGGCCACAGCAACAGACCATCTGCCTTCATCTTAACCACGTATTTTCTACTATTATCCTAAAATTTGCCATGTCTTCTTTCGCAACATCCATAATCTTTTCTGGGGTCTTTCACTTTTTCCTTTGCCTTGCTTCATAAAGCTCTGGCTTCACAGAGAGTGTTAGTGGGTCAACACAACAGGACCCTTACAGAGGTAATTGAGACTTTTGTCGTTGCCATTGTATTATGCCTATGCCTGTTTGGCCCCTAAAGTCCAGATTCTATTGCTAGTGTGACTGCAACTGCTCCCTGTTCGTGGAGCACTTCCCTGCTACTATGCGGGTGGAAGTGATAGGCTGAAGCGCAGAACACTGTGCTCACAAAGCAGCCATTGCAGCCATCAGATTTGCTTTTGATTGTGCAGTTTTAAACGCGTATAAGCAACAACCACGGATGCATGTGTCTGAGGCAACCAGGCTCTACCTCACTTTCCTTTATGGCTAATGTAAGTGCAGGCCAAAAGGGAAGGGGGGAGGGGGCGGCTGCATGGAGCAATTGGCCCTAGTGTGAGTACACCCTTAGTGGTCAAGTGAACCATATACTGTATCTTCTCCTTCAGGACCTCCAGCACAACCTGGCTTCTCCTTCTCCTTTTGCACAGTCCTCTTCAACACCTCTCCCTCTTGAACCCCTGATTCCTATTCCGGAATGCTACACAGGGGTCTGCGAACTGGCATTGGAGGAATCTAGACACTGGCTGGAAAGGGCAGATATGTCATGCTTGCTACAGCGCAGCAATCAGGGAGATCAGCTTCACCTGCGCTTTCCAGCTAACGATGATGATCTAGCAGCATATTTAAGCAGCGGCCACACACTTCTCTCTGCCAGATCGTCTCATCATGTCGTTGAGGGTGCACGTTCTCGCCTTGGTCAAGTTGTGAATTTCCTGTTTGATCCAGACATACCCTTGAGGTCGATCCACGTCAAGCCTCACCTGCCCTGGTTCTGAAGGTCTTTCGTTGTTTTGAGGAGAACCTTCATCGTTATTTCTGCGTCACTCTTCCGCCTCTGAATTGGCCGGCTCCCTCCCCTTTTGTTGAAAGACATTTCTGCACTCCAAATGGAGACACCCTTAGTTTTAGAGACTTCCTCAGAGAAGACATTTCCATTTGTGATCATTGGCTGCAGTAATCTTGGATATTCACAGTAAAATTGACTACGCTATAGACTTTTGTATTAAGGCCAGAGAGAGCAACTGGAATGAACCTGCACTCTCCGGGGCCTTAACTCCAATGTAAAGGATGAGTTGGTGTCTCATGATCACCTCCACGATTCTGCACGCCATCATTGATTTGACTTGCCGCATTGATCTGAGGATGGCGAGGTGCCAGGAGCGGCAGGGTGTACTGAGGGTCCAGTGCTCTGCTGAGCGGCACACTGATTTGTCGCTCAGCAGAGCGCTGCTTTAGAGAACACCAGTGCGTCAGGAGCGGGTGTTGTTAAAAAGAAGGATGGATCTCTGCGCCCCTGCATTGACTACAGGGGTCTGAACGAAGTTACTGTGAGGAATCGTTATCCCTTGCCTTTAATGTCTTCTGCCTTTGAGCTACTGGAAGGGGCATCAATCTTCACCAAGCTAGACCTTAGGAATGCCTACCACCCGGTCCGTATCCATGAGGGGGACGAGTGGAGGACAGCATTTAACACACCAACGGGACACTATGAGTATTTAGTAATGCTTTTCGGTTAAACCAATGCCCCAGCAGTGTTTCAAGCTTTGATTGATGATGTTCTAAGGGACATGCTTAATAAATTTGTTTTTGTTTACCTGGACGATATTTTGATCTTCTCTTGTTCCAAGAGCGAGCTTGTTCACCATGTTCCAACAGTCCTCCAGCGCCTGCTCCAGAATGCTTTGTTTGTCAAACCAGAGATGTGTGAGTTTCATGTGTCTTCTACTTCCCTCTTGGGCTACATCATTCGGGAGGGGAGGAATCAGATGGACCCTAGCAAGGTGTCGGCCGTGTTAAGTTGACCCTGGCCAGACTCCCTGAAGCACCTCCAAAGATTTCTGGGATTTGCCAACTTCTATTGCCACTTCATTAGGGGTTACAGCTCCATCGCCGCCCCCCTTTCAGCACTCACGTCCACCAAGGTTCCCTTTGTCTGGTCGCCAGCTGCCGAACAGGATTTTCAGGAATTGGCTGGCTCCCTCGCAATCCAGAGGGAATCCGCCACGGTGACGTCACTCCCAAGGGAATTCCCAGTCAAGAGTGGGTCGCCGTGCCACTCCCTGAGATCCGAATGGAGACTCCTTTTGTTAAAACGACATTTGTTTGCTCCGGGTGGAGACTACTTTTGTTTGACACTTATTGCTCCATTGCTCTTTTCTTGAGATTGACTCCAACCCCATTGTGACCCTGCAAAACAAAAAAAAAAGTAAAAGTAGATATTGAATTAATGAATATATTGATCCCACAAAATCAAGCCCAATTTGCTTTCCAGACTCATGGAGGCAGATAGGATAGAAGGTAAGTGTTAAGATATTGTAAATACAGTACATTTATTCAAATATTAATGATATATTCATTATATTAAATTTCCATATCAATTTATACTGTTTGTTTTTCAATGCTAAAAGGAGACTAAAGGTACTAAAAGGAGAAGTACTGAAGAAAGGTGTGCATGCTGATGGTTTACATAACAGGATGGTGTATGGTACGGATGGCACTGACTGTTACGCTTGGAGATAGAGACAGGTCACAGAACCGGCCTGAACCAGTTTCTCTGCCCAAATAATGAGGAAAACAGAACATCAAACAGGAAAAGAATCCAAAGCGCATTTCTTTGATCTAACCTGAGTTACTGAGCAGAATAGCTCAGCACATGTACATGTTTTGTATTGGTGGAGAAGCTTAGTTTGAAGCAGTTTTTGCCAATCAGCGCTCAGAAGTGGTACGTGAACACCACATGGCTGTAAAGGGTTAAGCTACTGACCATTGATGTGTATGTGAAAAAAAACTGTATTTAAGCTTTGAGCACTGAGGAGTTCCTTAGTGCAGTTCTGAATGTAACCATTGTTTTGCACTCCTTGCTTGAAAGTAAAACTTTTAAAATTTGAGATCTCGTATTTGATTCTTTATTTGATCAGATCTTTATTTGATCTTTATTTGAATTCTTTGTGTGTTAGGAAACTGGGGTATGAACTAACAGCATTTTTTACAGTCCTATCTAACAGAAAAAGTTTCCTGACAGTAAGGCAGCATGAAACTAATATCCATATCCAGACTGGAGATTAACCTCCTGCGTTGGAGGTTAAGGATCTGGTACACAATCTGCAAATGGAGGATCCCAGCTCTGGGACTCGTCCAGCTAATAGCTTTACATCGCGGAGAGAGTCAGCATTCTGAAAAACCCATCTGTTACCCTGGATTTTACCAGACCCTGAGCTTCCTGAGGCAGCAGTTTTAGTGGCCAATCATGTCTCAGGATACCCACGATTTCATTTCTACCTACTCATACTATCGTACTCCATTGGGATAACTACAACCTTGAAGACACCTTTGAAGACACCCAGCTGTACCTGGTAACACGTAGCATTGGTCTTTGTTAGGCTCACCACCTTCATCAGGAAACACACATACTCACTGTCATTGCCGATTTCTCTAAAGTGATACATTTCATCCATAATATGTCCTGAAGTGGATGTCCTATGAAAGGAATGACCTCTCATCACTTGTTTCTTTTTCTTTCGGCTTTGTCCCTTTTTCAGGGGTTGCCACATCAAATCATTGATTTCCATCTCTCCCTGTTCTCTGTATCTACTACTCTGACTCCAACTATCTGCATGTCCTCCCTCACTGCATCCATATATCTCCTCTTTGTCAAATATTGCATCTGTGGTATTCTTCCTAGGCATGAAACCATACTTTTGTTCACAAATCTCCACTTCCTGCCTCAACCTAGCTTCAACTACTCTTTCGC